CCTGCAGCCCATTTGCCCCTCACCTGCCCCCAGACATCCTTTACAGCCCCCTGCAGCCTAGGCACACCCATTTACCACCATCTCCCCTACAGATCCCGTACATTCCTCTGCACATCACGCATCCGATGCCCTCCTTTACCTCCCCTGCCCTGCCCAGATGCTGGGAAAAGCCCTGGGACATGCCTGGGGAGCTGGCATTCTCCATTCCAAGGACACATTAGACACCTCTTGGGAGGGTCATGGTGGCTGGTGCTGCCTGGGGACAGGGGCAAGGTGTGAGTGGCCTCCTGAGAGCCCCTCCAGCTGGATTTTCCAGTGGTGGTGTCAAATTGTAAATGCAGGTGAACCTGGTGGGAAGAAATGATGATGTCTGACTCCAGTTCAGAAGGCTGAATGATTTCTTTATTATATACATTAATATACTATTTAAAAGAGATACTAAAACTACAAATCTACTTTTTCTAACTACCATATCTATCTAACTCACAGCTCATGACCCTCTCTCCAGAGTCCAGCCCCAGGTGGGTTGGATTGGCCATCAGGCTCAAGCAATCTCACCAGAATCCAATCAAGCAATTGCTCCAGGTAAACAATTCTCCAAACACATTCCACATGGGAAAACAAGGAGCAGAAATAGAAATTGTTTTCTCTTTCTTTCCTCTGTGCTCCTCTATGAAAAATCCTGAGAGAGAAGAATGTGCCTGCCTCAGGTGTCCATTTCCCACTGGTGAGCCCAAGCCCTCCCAACCCATGGTCCCACAGTGCCAGCAGCTTGCATCTCCTCAGAGTCCATGAGTTTGGGGAGGACACGTTCATCACTGGCCTCCTGGAACCTTTCAGGTTCAAGAGTGAAGAACTAAGAGTTTATTCAGAAAATAGTTATTCTCATTAATAAAGCCAAAAGCCTGAACCAGGCTTGAGCCTTATCTTTGCAGAGTGAGGTGTGACCCTGTGCACACTAACTGCTGAAAGCAGTACTGGCCCCAGCCCAGGCCCTCTCCACTGGGCTCCCTGCACAAGCAACTGCTTTAGGACTACCTAAAAATTCATAATACTTAAGTGTCCTGGTGGAGAAGCTTGTCTCGGCTGGACAAGCTCTGAGAGCGTTTACTGGGGAGAAACAGAGACAAACAACTTGTAGGTAAGTTTCTCTAGAATCAGGAGCAGTTTTCTGGGTTTTACTATATGTGTAGGGAAGATATTTTCCTCCTTAAAGTAATGGAAATAGCTTCTTTCATATATGAAGGGAAGAGATGGAACTTTGCCAAGGAGCCTCTTTCCCTCAATCCTCCTCCTATGGCACAGGACATTTATCCTCAGATAAATGGACAAGCTGAGATTTTTTCAGTCCCTGGGGCAGACCAGTAGTAACAAAAGCAAAGTTAAACAACTCCAAACAAAAGCTGCAGCAGAACAGGGGTGTGGTGGTGGAAATAATGCCTGGCTAAGTAGGAAACTTTAATGATGATACATGGAAAATTTTAAACAATTAAAACTTGAATCAGTCTGGCCCTGGTCCCAGCTCATTTAGTTAATAAATACTGTGCTTCATCACGGTGGAGCTTGTGCCTCTTTTTTCCTGCAGAAGAGAGGAGGCTCCTGGTGTTGGGCTGGTCAGAGTAGCTGTGTGGACAGCAGAAGGTCTGGGGGGCCCCAGTGCTGCCCAGGCTCTCTGTACCCCTCAGTCTCACATTGGGATCACCCCAAGGGGCTGAAGCCCCCCAGCATCAATGCCCAGGGCAGAGGGGCTGGGGATGGTGGTAGCTAAACCACAGAAACACATCCAACACATGTGTATCCAAGGGTGAATAGAAAAACCACTAATTGGAGAGTCATAACCATATTAATTATCTGAATATGTGTACAAATTAGACATAGAGTCACAGACCCACACTGGAAACTTCTTTCCCCTATGTAAACCTATTCTGCCGCATGCGGATCTGCAGAAGTTTTGTCTTTTAAATGTTTTAGGCACACACAGACAACAATTTCCATATATGAACACTTGCCAAATAAAACCTTTTAGGTTAAATATTGGAGACACTTACCTCACACCCCTTCTGACTTTCCCATACACGAGTGATTCGAATCCAAATCAACTATTAAAACCAGACCCAGTGAGACTGAGCTACAGAAGCAAACATCCCTCTGACACAGCTGTTAACCCCAGCCTGCCCTCACCTCCCAGTCCCCCACACTCCCACCAGTGCTGTACTCCAAGGTCAGCAGTATCCTCTCCTTGGGAAGAAGGCCCAGCTTACTCCAGCAGTGACAGCCCAGCACTGCAGAACTGTGGATCCAAGTCTGATGACAGCCTGGGACATCAGCTGGGAGAAGGCACCCTTGGAGTGACACTGTGGCTGAGTAAACATCACCAAAACCACTGATCCATCAGCCTTGTGCAGGGGTAGATGCAGCAAAGCTCAGAACCATCACAGGGTGAGCTGGGTCACACTGGTGGAGAGGAGCCAGGCACCAGTGGGGGATCACACAACAGGGAGAGACACAGTGGCCTTTCCCACCTCCACACCTGATAGGATGTAGGATCCCAGGAAGGTCTCAAGTTAAAAAAAATCCCACCCCAACTCCCCCCAAAACACTCAAACCTCAAACAAGCTCTCAATTAAATGTGAAAAGCAAATCACATTTTCAATTTGCATGGAGATGCAATTCATATCTCCAAGATGCTTTCTGAAGTTTACCCAGTGTCTTTCTCACCAGGATGCCAGGGGACCCCCACACATATGGACCAGGCAAAGGCCAAGTGATGCGAGACAAAACTCCTACCACAATTTTATTTTTTGTTTCATACAAACAGTACCCTCCCCACATTTTACAGAGTTTAACAGCATTTTCTGGTGACAGAGAAGGTGACACTCGCTTGTGGCTGCTCCTGCAAGCCTCAGAACAGGAACAGGGTGGCCTGAAGCCAGGAAACCATGTGCCCTGGGATGGGCCTGTGTGAGGCAGCTCCAAGCTCTGCAGGGGGATCAGGTGAATTGATTACTCCTAAGAAAGGGTATCATGAGATGCCATGTGGAAATACTGATTTGAGGGAGCTTGGGATCCTTAGAAGAACAGCTCCTTGCCCAGCATTCCCCCTGTGTGGCAGCCAAGCAAGACCACCAAGGGTGCCCTGCAGCATCCTGCTCAGCTGGGTGTTTAAAATGAGGGCAATGAACCAACTTAGGAACTTCTTGGTGCTGCCTGTATCAGGGCTGCAGATTCCTGGCATCCTGCAGGACATGGCCACTATGCAAGTAGAGTCAAATGGGAACAAGAGCCCCAGGGAGTGACAAACAGCACCACTGGCAGCTCCAGCTGTCTGCCTGGAAAACAGGGAAAGGTATCCTGTGCCATTCGTGTTGTGAGTCTTCCATCATGCAGCCGAGCTCTATTCAGTCCTGGATTTTGGTGAAGTCTGAACTCTCAAGCTGCAGGCACCAGAGCTCAAACCAGCAATGTGAAAGGATAACAGAGGAATTCAGAATAAATGTTGCTGACAAGGGCAACCTAAGGAGCTCCAAACAGAGCCCTGTAAACCAGGGCAGTAATGCTTCCCACCTGATTATCCTGTCTCCTCATTTACACTTGTCCCAAACATTCCCCCCCTTCAGAGGGTCCAACTGACCAAGCAAGGCCATGCATATGCAAGAAAAACATGGTTCAGCACTGTGATAAAAATGTCCACATTTTTTGTACTTTAATAATTAAAAATTCCTGATGGCAGAAGGAGGGGGAGGTGGATGTCCTGCTGCTGCTAGCAGGAATGCACACAGCCAGCATCTTTGTGGTACCCAGCTGGAGGGAGCCCAGGGCTGCTGGGAGGCTGCAGGGCAGGGGGCAGGAGCTGCTGTGTCCCTGTCAGGCACTGCATGAAGAGGTCTAGATGGAGACCAGTAACACCCTAAAATCCTTTCTACGGTGCAGAACCTGTAGGAAGAAATGCCCCAACTAGGATCATGCTCCCAACCCTCCTTGAGTCTCCAATTTTCCCTCTTATGCAGAGCCAGGAGGGAAGGGGTGCTTTACCCATTACCCCATTTCTTATTTTCCTTTTCCATGGAAGGAAAGCAAGCACAAGCCTTTCTTCTTCTCCCCCACATCCTTCCTCTCTCAAAGTGAGGAGGAAGAAGAGTGAGGCTGTTGCAAAGCAAAGACACAGCTCCCATCACCTTGCACAGCAGTACCCATCAGCTGAGCAAGTCAACTCCCTCTCTCCTTCTCTAAGTACTAACATGAAAAAACCCACATTTCTCTAACAAAGAAACATTTCAAGAGCCACAAAATCTCTTCTCTGTGAAATAAAGTGGATGGATGGACCTGGCTGAAAGCACAGCCTTGGGAGATGGGTATAAACACAGTCCCGCTGCCCTGGGACTTGGGGCTCACTCAAGCTCTGGTTATTCCCTAAGTGCCTAGAGGGATTTTATCACCCCCTCCCTGCTGGGAGGCAGACCCAGATAGCAGCAATCTGAGGATCTAAAGGACTGTAAAATTATAACAAAAACTGGGAAATAGTCCCAATGGCCAAAGGAAAGGCAGCTGTGGGCAGCAATGTAGGAGGTGGGGATAATCAAAGGGTGGTCCAGACTACTGCACTGTCATTTCAAGGTGTGCTTGAGTCATTAGATGACAGGAGTAGAAGAAGAAGAAAAAAGCCTCATGACACACTCAGTGTGAGATCTCTTGGGAACTCAAATCAGTCCTTGTCAGCCTCAAACTGGACTGCCCTGGTCCAGAGAGTTTCACTGTAATTACTGTTTTAATAGTCCACCCTTCCTTGGCACATCTGCTGGGATGCAGCTGAGTGAGGCACCCACTGGTATCATCCTGACTCTCAGGGGTTGGTTTTTGATCACTAGGGCAGCCACAGGACAGGAGATTAGGGTCAGGACATAAGAGACAGCTTCTTTTGTTAAAGTGCCTTATTTTCTTTGAGCTTTTAAAACATCTTCAAAAACATCCTCAGTAGAAGGAGGGCACAAAAAAAAGAAAAAAAAAGGAATACAGGTTTTATATGAAAGAGAGTAGAGAATTAATCAATATTTACACAGATCTTGGATAAGATTACAGCATAGACTAATAACCCAACACAGCAAAAAGCAGAGTGTCAAAAAGAAGGGCAAAACCTGTTTGAATGCTTTCAACACCATTTCCCGGAGATCCCAAGTGTAAACGGTTTTATCTAGGAAAAGGCATTTGAACTTGGGCTTTGGTAATCGGGGTTGATTAGAGCCCCACTGCTTGCAGGCAGGAGGACGTGGGTGGGCCACCCGACCTCTCCAGAGCACAGCCCAGGCTTAGACGAGTTCAACTTTGGCGTTTGGATAAACAGCCACCACGTCATAGCCCTCGGGGGGCTTAACCCTCTCCTTGGCATGCGTCTCGCAGTACAGCTGCTCCTCAATGAAGAAATAGCCTCTCTGCTTCAGGTTGAGGCCACAGTCGTCACACATGAAGCACTCGGGGTGGTAGAGCTTGTCCCGAGCCTTGACGATGGTGCCCCTGGGAGAGATCAGGAAAGCTCAAGTGAGGTGGAGAAACAACGAGCAGAACAGCTTTTCCTGCTGCCTCAAGTACAGTAAGTGGAGGAAAGCAGCATGCAGGGACATGTAAGGGTGTTATCAGGGGTTCTCAGCCCACCCAAAGCTGCCATCTCACTCCAGGTGTGGCTTCACTATGCTTCTGCAGGGAGGGATGCTCCACACCCAGCAGCACTGCTCCACAGCTTGATGAAAAACACAGACTTGAATATCTACACTCAGCTTGCATCTGAAAATCAGGAGCCAGCATCCTGCAAGGACTGGGGCTGAGCACCTGCAGGCACGATGACTTGTGGAGCAGAGACCCTCACTCACTGCTCCAGCAAGAATTTGCACAGCTCACACTCAGCCAGCAAGTTTGGCTTGAGCAGGATGTAAATTACAGCAGAACATAAATGACAACAGGTCATAAATTACAACAGAACAAAGCAGAAAAACACCTATACTTTCTGAAATAAACATCCATCTGTCAGAGAGTAACTCTTCAACAAACAAAACAGCTTTCTCCTTCTCAACATTCAAGGTGTGGTGTTTCTCCCACCAACCCTTGTAAGGCAGTGAAGGAGTGCTTGGTGCTATTCATAGTCCCTGAGCAGCTACTATGATAGGCAGGGCACAAACCATCCCATAAATCATCCCTTGTGAGATTCCCTTAAAAGGGGCAATCCAAACTGTATTGCTCAGGTTTAGATATGGTTAGAAAAAACCAGAAAGGGATTCAAGGTATTCTGCTATAAATTCTAACCCACGTGCCACGTCCCAGTGTCACCGTGCCCACGGCACCGGGGGCTCCGGAGAGCCACGACACTCACACGATCCCGTTCCTGCAGCGGGTGCACTCGGGAAGCATCTGCAGCCCAGACATGGGGCCACCAAGCTTTGGCACCGGGGATTTGATGTTCCGGGGGTTGCTCAGTTTGTCGAGTTTTTCACCTGCCAAAAATTATAACGACACAGATTAAAAACTCGGCCTCTCAGGGCTGGATTCTTTCCCCTCTTCTTCTTCTTTTATTTTCTTTTCCCTTACAGAGTCAGATGAGTCTGCCTGTCATAACAGGACCTGCAACTCCCCTGGAAGTTCCAGGACAGCATGAGCTCAAAATACATGGACCTTATCAAAATGTTAAACAGCTGTGATCTAGAGATGAGAGGTTAATTTGGCTGTAGTATTACTTACTGAATTAAGAATCATAAATAGTGGAGAGCTCAGAAAAGCTCCCCCCACTAAAAAAAAAATAAATTTATAGTTCCATCACAGCAACATTCAGGAACACTTGGTAGACCCACCATTTATCAAGGAGATGTAGATGAAAGAATATCAGAGAATGAGGCATATTGAACCAAACAATAACAGAATCACATGCACTTTTCTTTGTAGAGCACGCATTTACAGTCAAATAATCTAAACCAAAATACTGTGATAGAAGGTAAGGTCTTCTGAGGCATCAGGCCTCCTTTTATGAAGGTCCAACAATGGGAATGGAAGCAATGAGATTTTGTGTATATGAAAAATATCATGGCAGAACATTCAGCGTTACTGCTCCTACTCCCTACAGACCATCTACCGTCTGCCCTCTAATTCTGGACAACACCAACATGCTTCTTGCCAACTCCTGGGACACTTAAAAGCTTCCAGTATTGACTGCATGGTTTTCCACAGCTGACAACTGACAGGTCTGTTTGGTATATATTGATCTACAGTTCCTCTGTGATTGCCTAAGGTTGTAGAAAGGAAAAGAAGGACCTCATGAAGAAGGAACAGTTGGCTCACAGTTTGGAAAAACAGCAGAGGAGCTCTTAGATGAACAAATCATTCTCCAGAGTTCTAATTTGCCACAGTCCCTGAGCTTCCAAGGTGTTTCAGTCCAGGGTCCATTGTAAACATGTGCTTCAAGCCCTGATGCCCAGAAGGTCTCTGTAGGCCACAAACTCTTTTGATCGAGGTATCTGCACATACTCCGTGCCAGTTTTGGAAGCTTCAGAGCAAAATCCAGTGTAAGTGCCTCCCACGGCTGCAGGAGCATCTCTGCCTTTCCTAAAGGGAACTTTTAGCACCTGGAGCCTGTTACATCCCCACTGCTGGCTGCTCACAGACCCTGGGCAGGGTCACACCACAGATACATTTTGAAGGCCATCACTCGGAAATGCTTCCTTCCATGGAGAGACCCCTGCTCCCCTGTCCAATGTGTCTCAGGAGTGCTCATTGTCCTGGGCCCAGAAGGGAAGGAGGGTGCACACCTGACTCATCCCCTGGGTTTCACAGGCACCTTCACACCACAGCCCCCTCTCCAGCCATGGCTCTGACACAGAGGCAAATGCTGTCAGCAGTTCCAGCTCAGTGGGTAAAATCAAAAGGACCAGCTTCCCACCAGACCCACCTCCCCAGAACACAAAACAGTGCTTGGCAATGCCAAGAGCTTTCATACATGCAAGGCACTGCCCAAGAGCAGAGCAGGGCTACTCCACCCCAGGAGTTCCCTCAGTACTTGGCTGGCTCCAGCCAAGCCCCTTGTTGAATCCTTCCGCTGCCTTGCTGGGAATAAACTGAAGCAACTGAAGCTGTTGGCTTCCCCCAGCATGAGACACAGCGTGCTTGGACTAGACAGGCTCATCTGCCAACATATAACAGTTAAGCTGTCACTGCCTCTCATGCAGAGTGCTTGGATAAGCTGCTTAAAAAAGGAAAGAAGGAAAAAAAAAAAAAGGATTTTACAGCAAAATGAACCCTGCAGAGAAGGCTGCTTCCCATCTTCTTGAGCTGTGTATAATTTCCTTCTATTTACTAGCCCAGCCTCATGGTGATTTATGTTCTGCAGCAAGGCAGCAAAATGCTTTAATTCCACAGCCTCAACCATGCTATCTCCGTTATGGCTGGAGTTTTTTGTCCTTTCTGGGTCATGGGTGCCTATAAGGGTGGGCACTGCCATTCCTCCAGCCTCCACTTCAGCACAAAGAATTGCTCCCTAAGGGTGTGGGAGAGGGCTAAAATGCTTCCAGTAGGAACAGATTCCATATAAAACAGGTCCTTGTCCAAGACACTCAGTTCCTTGGGAGAGGAGAGCTTGACTTTAAAAGGACAATGCAGAGCAGGCTCAGGTCAAAATGTGTAATTTTAGGCTTAAGGAAAAAGGAGCAGGGGTGGCAGCTGTAAAATAAACCCAGCAGGAACACTTGGGGTTGAAAATGTGCTGGAACATCACAGAGCTTCATGTCAAGCAGAGATGCTTTTCACCTAATTTCTCATCCCTTGTGAAATAAACAGTGTTGGAATGACCAAGGCATAAGTGAGGCTGTGCTTGCAGGCAGTCACACATCCCCTCCACACTACTGAGAGGGAGGATGGTGGAATCCAGGTGACAGTGACTGCTCCAGTCACTGGCTGGTACCCAAAAGCAGCCTGTCAGGCTCCAGTCAAACACTCAGTGTTGCACTGGTGACAGGCTAGTGCCAAGAGAATGCTGATGAGCACACACCCAGGACTGGCTGGACAGTCCCAGGATGTGGGGACTTGCCTGGCATCTCTTTCTTCCCCAGCCTTTTCTTTCTCCCTCCTTGCACTGGGTTCCTGCCAGCCCAAGGCTGTGGGATGCAGGGGGAGGCAGAGGCAAACCAGCAGAGCTTGAGTTTTGTTCCCTTTCCCTGGCACAGAGAAGGGAGGAAGGCAGGAGCGTTACTAATTGGGATTAAAACAGTCACTTCTCATTTGCTTCTTCCTGACGAGGAGACTGGGAAGCAGCAGATTTGTCCTTGTTCTTGGAGGTCTTGAAGGACCTGAAGGTCCAGCTGGGGCCTGTGTTTAACATCAGTTTTTCTGCCAATCCAGGGGCTGTAGTACTAATATAAAATATAATAATATACCCAGTGCTTCTGAGGTTGATCCTATCTCATGCTTTGTAACTATGGCTCAGTCCCACTGAGAAAACCAGTACTGGTGGAATTCCATGATGATCAGAGGTTACCTGCAATTGTGCTTCTTGTGAAGCAAGAACCAACGGCCTTCTAGTCAAAGAACCAACCTCTCCAACATTTTAGACAAACAGAAACTACCTCTTACGGCTCCATAATGAGATTTACAGCAGTTGGTATTTTCTCATAAAAGATATGTTCCTGGATTCACATGATTGGAGAATGGGGCCCTTGGAAGGAAACAGAAAGAGGAGTCTTGCCCTGTAAGACTGTAAAGCAAAGCCTAAAAATTTGAACATAAAAGCCCCAACAGACTTAACAGTGAAAGGCAAATAAAAAAAGATGCTGAAATGTATAGATTTGGGATCTTATTATTTAATGTGTTAACGACATGGGCAGGAAGCTGTGACAGACCTGAGAAGTGAGCCAAGAGCTCCTGATCTCTATCCCTGCCTTGCTGAGGACCATCCCACGTCCTTATGCAAATGCCATTTACTTAACCAGACCAGGCTCACCAACAGTGATCTTACACAACCGCTTAAGGCCATCACATTTCATAAACCATCTCAGAAAACAGCTGCCACGTGGTTACAAATCCAGCTTTCACACAGTGCTCAAGTTGGACACAAAATTTGGCAAGCAGGAGTATGTGAAACACTTGTTTGAAACCTGCCCTCCTGGTGGTCTCCTTACAGGAGGGTGCTTGGGTGCCAACCTCCTTACCATTCTCACTGGCCTCCAACATGCCCTGCAAGTACCGGAAGGATCCAGACTGCTTTGGCTCTGAAATGGGCTTTTCATAATCCTGAAGCATCTTGTAGACATCTGACTCCACATCAATCCCATTTCTGTTCCGTGGGAGAGACTTCACGGGGTCAATGCTGGTTTAAAGCAAAAGAAAGAAAGGCTCAAGTCAAACAGAAACAGCTACTGTCAGCTCATCAGGGAGGTACTGAAATCTCCACATTCCCACAGATTCAATTAAGCACCTCTGTTCCCATGTGCTTCCCTGCCTGGAGGTATGTCTGGCACAGGAACAGTTGCTGAACCAAGGAGGTTAAACTTGTTCCCTGTTGGGCTCCAATTGAGCAACACAGCAGGGCTGGCCCAGTTACCAGATGCCTTCAGGAAAGAGGGCAGCTGCTTGCAAATGCTGTAAATTGCTTTGCCACCTATGGAATTTATTGATAAAATGGGAAAAACATGCATTTCATTAACTATGTAGGGCCAGGGCATGCACTCATCCCTTGTAAGGGACTCTGGAGAGTGTGTGCCAGGCAGGACACCAATACCCCTCACCAGCCACAAAGTGCTTCCTGTGAAGCTGGTGTTACTGTAGGCACATCACAAACACAGAGTACAGCTTAACTGAGAAAACCACCTCACCCGGGAGGGGGACACTGGGGCTGCCTGTAACCCCCACCTCCAGACTTCAGCCTGGAGCTGCTCCTGGTCTGTATGAGGAACATTTGGGATGCACAGGCAACAAACAGCAATTTAAACCATTATTCCACTCCAGTACATCAAAACATGAAAAGCATGGTCTGGAATCAAATATATTTCAGGTACATGCTTAAAAGTCCTGCTGAGAAAAGCTGAATCCAAGTGCTTTTGTGCTCCAGAGGCCCCAACACACTGCACAGCTCCAGGGGAAGGGGTTCCTCTTCCTTTTTATAGAGCAGGTCATCAGGGTCATTACAAAACCAATAAAAATAACAAGAGCCCTGAACTCCATCAGCTTCACATACTTCAGCCATCATCTGGATAATTTTCTCTACCAGTATTATATTCATGGCTGCTTAAACAAATAAACAAAAGTAGTAACATTCACTTTCAAAGAAAGAAAAAACCCTCCAGACAAAAATCACTTTCAAAGAATGGCTAGTGCTCCAAGTTCTGGTAGAGACTCCCCAGCAGCTCTGCTCGCTGTGGGAGGTGAGGGCCAGCCTGGGTGGTGGGGCTGAGCCATGGTGGTGCAGAGCCACGGACCCATCCCCTGACTCCCAGCCAGTGCAAACCCCTTGGAGCAGCTGTGCTCCAAGTGCTTTTCTACCCTGCTACAGTTCACTCCTACACCAATTCACACATTTTCAACGGGAAAGGGCAGGTTTTGGCCAGCTGTGTTAATTTGGCACAGTCTGGCTTGTTGGTAGTGGCGGAGCTGGGGGCCCACAAGGGAGTTTCTGTGAGAAGCTGCTAAAGACTTCCACCATGACAAAACCAATCTCTGCTGGCTCTGAAGATGAACATGCTGCTGGCCCAATTAGAGAGGCTGGTAACGCCTCTGTGATGACATATTTAAGAAGAAAATCAAAACAATGCAGGGGCAGATTTTCCAGGGATGG